GCCTTGGTGCCAGTGTCTCTGTTGTGGAACCTTTGCTTGGGAAAGCTGACAGCTGAACCCAGTTCAGTGTTTTGAAGGTTATGATCACAGCAGTTTCATAAGTGCTTTATTTCAGTTCTCTCCTGGCTGCAGAAGAGACAGGTGCGGCCTGGTTCTGATTTCACTGGTCTTAATTCTTATCTGACCTGGTAGTCAATCAAGGGCATGAGAGACAGGGACCACAGAGAGATGCCTGAGTGGGAGACGACGCTGGGGACCAAAAGCGGCAGGAGGAGGACAGCGTGTCTGGAGGAGGACAGCGTGTCTGCAAGCGCGTGGGAGTGGGAGTGTGTGTGCACGTGCCTGACGTCTCATCGTGGACCTGGCAGCCCTGCCTGTCATTCCGTACTTCTGTGTGTACGAATGCCGCCCTGTGCAAAATGGATTTTGGAGTGTTAACCACCATGTTCTTCTTTTCCAAAGGGTCTTCTGTAGGATTTCATTTGCAGAGCACAGAGGGCAATATCTAGGGTAATTCCAGGGCTTAGTGCCTGTGATCTTTTGTCAACTCTTCTTGTGAGAGAAATTAAACTCGGTATGAGCACCCACATTCTCAGTGAGTGCAGTGCCATCCCCGGCCAATGGGTGGGAAATCATAAACCCCGACAAGTATTTATGAGAGGGAAAAATGAGAAGTCATAATATGACAAGAATATATTCATTAAATCTTTCAATTTCTCAGAAACAGAGAATTCCCACTTCAGTAAAAGGCTTTGCGTAGATTTATCAGGTCTGATATTCTTACTTTTATGAGATTTGACGCTGTGTGCTAAAATGAGATATATTTAAAAGCAGGACAGCACTATCAAAAGAAGGACACTACTGAAAAAGGCATTAGTAAACAGGACACTAGCCACCGTTCATTGGTGGAATACTGAATAATGTCCACATGATGCACCGAAAACCTCTGAGGGCAGGAATGAACACCAAAAATAAATATATATAGGCTTATTTCAAGGATTCTGTAATAGTAGCCACAGCAGTTTTATAGCCTCTCATAATTGTCAAGCAATTTGGTTTTATTTCAGTAGAATCAAACAGTAGCAGTTTGCATTAATGTTACTTGTCAGAGTATAGCTTTCATAGTCACAGTGTCTATAGACAGACTTTCCACAGAATGTCCTCAAGTGACTGGCATAGTGTATGCTGGGAAGTATGTCCCAAGGCTACGCCCATCAGAATCACCATATGTTTTTGATCTCTGAGACCAGTAAAGGTGTATTAAGATAGAGATAGCTCTCTCCATGGAGATACACAAAACATAATTTTAGATTATTTGTGTTGGGCTCAAAATTTCCTAGGTCTGTTTGTCTCAGATCAGACACAGGGGTGATACAGAGAAGACTGTCAATAGGTGGGAAAGAGACTTCCTTCAGTTTGGTTACTCAGAACTGAACCTTGGTTTATTTGGACACTATCCAGTGTGGAAAGCAGGTCGGAGCTGCTTCCACACAACGTGTTATGCTCCTGACCTTGGAGCTAATCTTGAGTCGCTGGTTAAAAGTACGGTTGTGATCTAATTGGTATTCATGCTGAGACACCGTGTGTTCTTTTAAAAGGCTGTACATATCTTTGAAATAATACCAGTGGTTAGCATGCTAAAGGCTTTTATTTCTGCCTTTTATTCTAGGTTCAGATCAAAGAGGGGTAGTTGGGGGGCAGAATCCAGTATTAATTCCATTTTCTGAATTACAATATCTTACTAATGTTAGGTGATTGGTTATTATAGCATATCACTTCTTAAATGTACATCTTAGAATGAAAAGAGGTATAATTAATTTTTATATTATGTATGGCTTTAAAAATGTTAGCTGTTATAGCAATAACTTGTTTTAGTTCACTTAAATACAGCTCTTTATATCTCAAAGAAAATGAAAGAACTCTCAGAGATGAGAACATAGAGATAGCTTTTAATGTCAAGGGCTATTTAGTGCCAAAATACACTAATATAACCCCAAATGTGATTACTTTAAATATTAATGCTATCTCCATGGAGGGGAGAGTGAAAGAATAAACCATATTTGATCCTTAAAGTTAATTTACAAGAGGCTGGTTCCTGTATGCAGTTTTTGTAGCGTGTAAACCTCTAGGAGCAGCAGCTAGCCTTTGCCTCTATTTGCAAAAGAGCCTGTGTGCAGTGTCCCTCACCTTTGCACCCAATCAACACTCAGCAGTAGGCCACACGCCCGCCCATGGGTGCTAAAGAGATTTCCTGAGGGAAAGCCATTTAGAAAGGTAGGAAACTTTACTTTAGTAATTGAATATCCAATGTCAAATATTGCCAAAACTTTTTTCCCCCACATTTATTTTGTGTCCTTTGTTACATTATTGATGGTTGTTTCTATGCATGTCTCCTCCTCTATACTAAATTCTTCCCTTTTGAAGAGCAAAGGGCTAAGCACACGTATTTTATATTTAACTGCTCTTAGTGTGCTGTCTCTACCATTTACCACTTGCATGACAGACACATTAATTAACATCTTTGTGCCTCAGGCTCCTAACTGTAAAACAGAAAAGATATCAATGCCTATATAGTAAAGTTTTTTATGAGAATCAAATTAGTAAGTTTAGGTAATATACCTAGTAACCCATGAAATAAATATTAGTCATTGTATAGATTAATATTAATGTCAAAATTGAGTGGTTATAGTGCCCAGCACCAAGTAGGGATTTGTTGTTAATTTTATATTTCAAATGACATTAAACAAACATGAAACACAGAAATCACTAATAAAAACATTGTTTTCTATAATATGAAGAGACAGTTTCACAGCTCAGTTGGTGACATGTAGCACAATCATTCTACTTTCTTGTTTCCTGCCTCAGTTTCCTGCCTGTTAGAAGTAGCAAAATAATCACTGTTCTCTTCCTGAAAAGTGCTATAAATTCTGTAGCAATAAAATCATAAAAGAAAAGATTATCTAATATTATATCAGCAAAAGGATCAAAGATCTGGGTCTAATAAAGTCTATTGACAGTTGTTCATCTCTGCACATTTGCATAAAACTAACATAAAACAAGTGCATTCTAGTAGTCACTATTACTAAAAGTAAAGAGTCCTTCCATATAAATGTACAGTTTTTTTACAGTCAAGGTTGTAGTTAGGAAGAAGGAAGTAGTTTGTTTACTCTGAGCACTTTGTGGTGGTTCTGCCGGCTGCTGTGCCATGTGTGCCCTGCGCTGGCCAGATGCAGCATCTGTCTTGTGTAATTAGCAAGACAGCCTGTACATGTGGGGCTTGGAAGAATGAAAGATTTCCCAAAGGCTCTTTGACTATGGTGTTTAGGAATGCTGTTATTTGTAGATGAAGCTGGTATCTCATAATTCTTCTTGTGTTATCTGGCAAGCTGTGTTATAGCCCAACAACTTTAGTTCCATAGATTGTCTAAATACCACAGAAAACCTTAACTCTGGTAACATGGGCTCTGAAAAAGTTTGAGGGACAGAGACCAACTTCTTAGTTTCCTAAATTAGCTGCCCTTTCTTCTAAAGTGATACATTTTGTGACCTTTTTCATTTAAAGAGTTTGCTGTTTCATATTTAAATACTCTCAACTTTTTAGTGGCTTAACTCACTTAGAATTTTATTTGGTTGGTGTTCATTTTTTTCTATCATATCTTATTAGGGGCCTATTATATAGTATTTAATCACTCTGATAAGGCAGGGAAGCATGCTGAATTCTGAAAATTTTGGTGTCATAAAATAAATGCAAAAAATTAATAAAAAATTAAAATGACTTTAAAAAAACATCCCTATCTTTTGTAGGGAAAATTTCCAACATGTACATGTAGACAGAATAGTTTAATGAATTGTCATATATCCATACTGAGATTCAAAGAATTTCTAACACCTGCTAATCTTGCATCACTTATTACCTTCCAGTCTGCATATTATTTTGAAGTACATTTCATATTAATTTCATTGTAAATATTTTAATAATTAATTCTAAAGACATTTTTAAAAACATAGACACAGTATCATGCCTAAATCATCAGTATTATACCTAAAATATTTGCACATATTAGCAAAAACAATGTAACTTTAGTATGAAACACGTAAATACTGTTTACATTTCCAATTGTCTCATAAAACATCATCTGTTTTTACTTTTTAGTTTTAAATTAGCTTCAGAAATGGTACCCACAACACCAGTGGTTAATAGTGAGGTCTTTAAATCAATAGGCTTTCTTTTCTAGCTTGGTTTTCCCCTATGGTTTATTTGTTCAAGAAACTGTGATTTTCCTTATTAAGTTGCAGTATGCACTTTGATGATTACACTTTTTTTTTTTTTTTTGACCAAAAGTGTGTTTACTACAGCTTTTATGGGCCCACTTCTTCCATAAATAAGTGTGTTCAGAGTTGGGAAGGAAGACCTGAGCTACACAGATAAGAGCCGTAGTATTAAGGTTCAGGGGCTAGTTCATGACACTAGGCTTAGTGTTCTTCCGTCTAAGAAAACTCACAAGACTGCTGGGATCTTTACTGGAATAGGAGCCGTAAAACCCCTGCTGCAGGATCTCTCAAAATTTGGGGGTCTATTGCAAGGTCATCTAACGATTTAGGTTGACAAATGGCTGGCCTTTCCTGCAGTCTCCAAGGTTAATAACTCTAGTTCTGGGCCAAGAGTCCATGCCTGATGGGCATTTCTAGCGAGTAGATTGAATTTTTAAGAGTATTGTCTGACTAAATGTCACTAGATTTTTGAAAAAGCAGTTTATTGCAGAATTTATCAGCACTATTCGCTTGACCCCTGCCAACATTCACAAGTAATGCAATCCGCCTGTGTCTCCAGGGCGTCCATGCCAGCAGCTTCCGGTTCCGGGGACTGTGGTCAGCCAATGGCAGATGCCAGCGGAACCTGGAAGGTGGGTGCAAACTTCTCATTGGAGGCAAGGCAGGGCGCCGGAACCAGTAATACTAGATAATTGGCCGGGCTACGCAGTGCTGCCCCGCCTGCTTCCTCTGCAGGGCGCGTGCTCTGAGGGCAGGTCTGTCCCACGGATGGTCAGCGTTGCTTAGGCCGTAGCAGATATCATTGAGCTGGACTAAAGCAACCAGCACATCCTCATGCTATAGCCTGAGCAGCAGATCCAGCTACTAAGTCAAAGCCTGCTCAGTCTAGCCGTCCAGCTGGAGCCTCAGGCCCCCAGGTGAGGGGGGAAAACTGCCCTGGTGGCCTTCGCCGCTCACACGCCAGGAATCCCCTGTGGTGTCGGTCCACATGCCCTTCTCTCCTGCTTTTAAAATTCCATGGCTCACATTCAGTCGATAGCGTTTCATTTATTGGTATCATATTTTGATTAATAAGCCCAGTGATACAATGCAGCTTCCTCAGTGCAGTGGCTCATTTAAAATGCTGTTCGAATGTTTAAGTCTCAGTGCTTCTCAAAATCATCAACATAGCGAGGAACTCTTAAAAAAAGAGATCACAATCTTAGACTCCACCCACCTTGACTGAGTAGACTGTGGGCGTAGGGCCTCCTGAGCTGTGTTTTAACAAGCCATCTGGTGATCTGAGGGAAATAACTGTGAAAATCACTATTATCATGATGCTTAACACTCCTTGGCCATTTATAATTTTCAAAATTCAAAACTTGTTGGCCCTTATAAAGAAGCGGTTCTGTAAACTTGTATCTTGCCAATTAAGGTATCTCTTAACTTTTTCTCATTCTGTTCCAATGTAGGAAGCTAATTTTTGTACCAGTTATTTCTGTAAAAGGCAGATAGGGACTCGAGTAAAGGATCGTCATTAACTTGCCAGCATTCTGTAAAATGTGCGACTCCATAGTTCATCTGACTATTGCTCTTATTAATTACTGTGGCTTTCACTGTCATAATCTTACTTATCACGTAACTTCTCACGTAACTGGAGCAAATCTAAGATCCTTAACCTGGACTTCTGACGTCTGACGTCTGACTTCCATCCGATGCTCATAGTAGCAGTGTTATCTTTTTGTCCCACTTAAACTTCACTGACTTTGCCTAGAAGAGCTCACTCTTCTTAAGGTTTTTCTGTTTTTCCGAGTGCACAATCATTTGTTCAACCACTTATATCCCGTTTGGCTTTATAAATCTTCCTAGACTTAAGCATACAGTGTGAAGAGTTATGGAAAACTCACTCTGCTCCGGCAGGATTTTCCCCAGGTTCATATTTTAAATGGACCTCTGTGGCATTGCACATGGTTATGAACGGAAGGCGGTAGAATGTTAGTAAGGATCAATGATACAGACCCTTGGGTTTGAGTGTACTGCTTGTTACGATTGCTCACCTTAATTTTTCCTTTTGTAACATGGATAAATTTATAGCACAGACCAACTCCATTGTGGTGGCGTAAGTATTAAATGATTTATTATCACTTTTACACTTTGAACCATAGCTGTATCACAGCACATAAATTCTAATTCATGGTTATCCATGAGTATTGTCCAACTGAGTAAATTCTTGTAGATTAGTAATCATATGACATTTAATTCAGTGCTACCTGAGATTAGGGACTTTTAAAAACTTAATGCCATTTAAAATACCAGCTTTTGAAATATAACCTTAGAATACTCAGAAAAATATAATTGAATAATGTGCTGATCCTAAAAGTAATTCTTAATCATATACCAAAAGAAACGAAAATCCACAGTTACTAGTAATAATATTACCACACACTTATGTACTGGGAAACCAACGCAAAATTGCACTGTGATTCTGTAGGAAGTTTTCTCTGGCTAGCGGGAAATCAGTGGTCTGGTCTAACAGCACTTGCAAATTGTAACAATTATTCCTGTTGAAAGGTCTCAAATTCTGACTAGTATTTGACAAAGAAAGCTTGAAGACAGCCAAAGTGTTAATGGTCACGTGAAGGTAAATCTCAAAGGCACATTGACAGTTACTGTTATTACTTCTGGCAGATGGAATTAGCCTGCTAACAATCGTAATAGGAGTTTGCTGCACTGTGACACAAGTCAAGCTAGTTATGAAATCCATGTTGTTTCTGACATGCAGAACTCATTCTCCATGTGGCTGTGATAGTGGTCAGATTTAAGTCACTGTGTCAAATGTTAAAGCCAATAAGCGAATGCTGAGATGGGACTATAGTAATTTTACAAAAATGGTTTCATTGTTTCTTTGTATTCAGATGCAAAATTTTTCTTGCTCCCCAGCCTTTGGAAATAAAGTCAAATCTGTGCCCCACCCAGTTATTTTCATATTCTGAAAGGCTGCTGTGGGTCCTTGGATGGGGAGGTTATTCATTTCTGCTGACCCCCTTCATTCCTCCTGAACCCCAAGTTCGGAGCTGGCACTCTATGTGTTGGGTGACCATCCAGACCCAGGACTGCAGCCTTCAGGCCACAGGCAGGTTCTGTGGCTTTGCCTCCCAACATCTCCTTTATGAAAAGACTTTTAGGGACCCAGGTTAGCTATCTTCTCAGTGGACCCTCAAAATGTGGGGAAGAAAAGGGCATTTCTGAAAATGTTTGCTTTTGAAATAATTAAAATAAATAACTAAAATTAAAATTGTCTTTTAGATTAATTGAAAACCCCAAGATAACAGCAGAAATATCAAGGTAGACAAAATGGACTCAAGTTTAGCTTGTTCTGGGCTGTTATAATGATGGGACGTGTGTTAATATTTGTAAAATGCTCAAAGTTGGACCTGGTAGAGAGTAAATGCTAAGTAACAGTTAGCTATATAGTCAGCATGGTTTTTTCCTGACTTTTACCATTGGTTGGTTATAATGATGGTGATCAGGAAAGATACCTGAAGGCAGGCTATGGGGAGCGATCCTGATTTTGGACTCTTACTTTTCTCTGTGCTTCCTCTTTGTACCCTCCATCTGTCTTACAGATCTCTGGCTAGACATCTGTAGACTCTGAGTGTGAGGTCTGTGTGCTTCTGAATTATGATGCCACATTTCAGTTTTGTATTTTCAGGGACAAATGTCTTAATATTTTGAATAATCACATAATACAGGAGTTTTTCTATAGTCCACAAATGGAAATTAACCAGCCATTGACCAAGTAGGGCTCATGAGACAAAATCACACACCTACAAGGCAGGCAGAGGGGTTTGCAGTCGAGAGCTACACTTTTACGCTGTGTTTAGTGTCCATTGTGGCAGGCACAGAAGCCTTGTGACATAAGAGGGAGGATTATATAGGTTTTCAAGTTCCAGCCAATTGTAAATGTTTTCCATGCATTGAAATCTGTGAAATATACTGTAATTACAGGAGCAGGTTACATTTGAAGGGGAAATTGCCTTTCCTGCAGGAGTATTTTTATATCATCCTAAATACTGTTGAGAACCAATTAGTGTCCACTTGCCCTGCCCCGGTTAAGTGAACCTGGCGCAGGAAGGCGGCTAATCCCCTGGCAGCCTTGCGGGCAGCACTTAGGAAGCCTGCGGTGTCCTTGCTCCAACCTGATGGCATCTGCGCCAACTCTGGCCACTGGCTCGTGGCCCTTACCGTGCGGGGCTGAGCCTCTGGCATGAAGTGAGCCAGGAACTCAGAGTGACTTCTAGGCTGATCCTTACACCTACGTGAGTACTGTCCTCAGCCCTGGGAGCGCTCACACAGGAAGTACTCCGTGTGTCATGAATGTATTGCAGCTGGGGGTGGTGATGCACACCTGTAATAATTGGGAGGCTGAGGCAGGTGGGTAGTTCTGAGTTCAAGGCCAGCCTGGGACACAGAATGAGTTCAAGGCCATCCTGGATTTTATAGATTTTATAGATTTCAAAAATGAGTGATACATACTATCTTTAGAAATAAAATATTCTCAAGCAAGGGTCTACTGATTAAGAATGGAAAGTTGGAAGCAAATTAGTTCAAATCCTTACTGTTTGTCTTACTAGCTATGTGATTTCAGGCTAGTAATTTAACTTCTCTGAACTGTAGTTCCCTTATCTGGAAAATATAATTACCAGGAAGGGCTATTATGAGAGTAGACTAAATTTATATAGATGATGCCTATGAATCGCCCGTTTGTTACGTAAGTATCAGCCAAACAAACCTCCAATCACAAAATACTATCTCTCATTTAAGAAAAAAAAATTAGCTAAAAAAGTTATGTTTATTCTTCATTTATAGTTTGATTAGGAATATTTTTTAAAGGCATGCAGAGTTTCAAAACTAAAAATTTCATCTAGAAAGATTGGAATTGATCATAATTTTGAAAACAGTAGTGTTTCATATTTTACTCATGTGATTTCGTGGGCAGAGTCAAATGGGCCACCCTTTGATGGGTCCCACCCTGAGAGTGTACAGAAATGCCCAGGTTTGTGGAGTTGGGAGTCACACCGCCTGGTACCCCTATATGGCGATCCTTAGACGTCATAGGCCAGAAGTGGGAGTTGGAGGTGGTACTTAGAAAGGCCAGGAGTGCATCTTTTTCAGATGGGGGAGAAAGAGCAGCATAGGGCTGTGAGGACCCCCAAGTTTGAAGCCCAAATTTCCACTGTCTTGCTGAGCAGCCGGGATCAAGGCATTGGCCCTTCCCTGTCTCCATCACCTCATCCGTTCCATGGTGATTGGAAGAGCCCACCTCATGGGTAGACATGTGGACTGAAGGAGATAATGAGCTTTAGGACTTCGTCTGCTCTCCACTCCTCAGAAAGTCCTTAGTACCCGTCAGCTAAGGAAACTTGTCAAGGTGGAAAGGCAGGAGGATCGCAAGTTCAAGTCCCGCCTAGGCAACTTAGTGATTTAGCCGTGTCCTGTCTCAAAATAAAAAGTAAAATCATAGGGCTGGGCATGTAGCTCAGTGTGGTCTTCTGGGCTGAAAAACCCTTTCCGCTGACTGGGCCCTTGGAAGAGGTCACCACTGGTTCCGGGAAACACCACACTGAGTATATTTGGAAGGGACAATTCATATGTCCAATGCCCTTGAATATGTGAAATTTGACTTTACTGCATAGAAAATTTTTGATCAATACCAGGTAAAACTGTGACAAATGATATATACCTCTGAATTCTTCCTTATTAAGCTTGTCAGGTAAAATACAAAACACCAGTTAAATTTAAATGTCGGATAAACAATGAATAATATTTTTAGTACAAGCATATCCCAAATGTTGAATATACTAAAGGTTACCCATTTTTGTCTGAAATTACAATGAAACTAGAGATCCTATGTTTTTATTTGCTTGATCTGGAAATTCTAATTTGGAAATTTCACACGTTTGAATCAGAGGCTTAGTTTTTACTTCTTTCATAGTTTTTTGTCTTGTAAATTTGTAATTTATCTAGGTTTGCTGTTCAATAATATTAAATTCAGTATAAAAAAAGAAACAATTTAGAATTTATGAGACAAGAAAAATATATGAGATTCACATTAAAAGAAACATTAAATAGGTCCAAGTTCAGTTGCAGACATAACAATAACAATACCTTTTCATCTTTCAGATGAACTTAGTGCTAATCTGATTATGGTAATACAAATGGCTGGGAATGGACACAATAAGAAATAAATAAGAATGAAGGAGAAACATAGATTGTTGCTACACATGGTAGTCTTGATGGGTTAAGAGCACAAACTCAATAAATATGAAGTTTTTAAAGTTTTACTTTGTCCCTGTTATGTCATCTATATATGTTTGAGGACACATTTATAATAAACTTCTAAATATTCTCAGGTTAAAAATTTTGTTATTTTTATTATTTAAATAGTACCTGAAATGTAACCTAATTGCAAGAAAATCTTGGGGTGAAAAATTCATCTAATGAGGCAGTTTTAGGATCATTGTTATTTTGAAGCCACCATGAAATAAATTAGTATTTTAAGTAAGATATATACATTTACAGACATGTGTATACATAAACACATGTAAATAATTATTTCTGATTTTGTAGTTCTAAAAACAATATAATATTAATGTGATTTCTATTTCCCTGAAAATACAGATTTATCAGAAGTCATAAGTGGTTCTCTAAAGTTTCTAAGCTTACCTGAAACAGAAGTTTTGAGTCTAAAGAAATGTATTGAAAATAAGTGTACAGTTAGATATTTTTAAAAATTATGAATTGTAGAAATGCAACTATTAGTCTTAAAACTATATCTATTATTTTAGACAGCTGAGTGCAGGTAGTATATAGATGAAAGAATTCTGATTTAATGGCGAGAAGCAAGTACGTTAGCATTTCCTAGACATCATTGAGTTTTTTGGCCTAAAATAGCAGTTTTAAAAAGTTTGCTAGTTTTGGAAACCCACACCATTTGAATTTTTGCCTTTTTCTTTATTTTAAATTTTCAGCAACTCCTCTGCAGTATTTAGCTGAGTTTGTTTGTCTTCTGAGGATAAAAGCTCTTTACAGGACTCTGCCCTGCTGCCCTCCTAATTTCCTGTCACTTTGCTGAGCTTCTCGGCTGGCTGAAGGTAATACAGTAATTAAATTAGAACAAAATCGAATAGCTCTTCCACAAGGGGAAAAGTAAAGCACTTCTTTTGCATGCTTGGTAATTACTCTACTGGTCTTTTGGATGTGTAAAATTATTTGATTTAAGGATGTTGTGACTTTTGCTTTGGTATTTTCTGATTGTTGCCCTTGTAAGACTTCAAACTATGATGGAAGCCCTGGAATTTTTATTTAGTCCTGCATTCGATTCTATGGGAAAAAAGATAATGAGCAGAACTCAAAATAAATTTCAGCATCATGTTTTTATAGCCCAATAATTCTGTGTACTTTATTTTTGTAACATGAAGTAGGTGAGTATATCTTATATTTTCATATAATCATAATTCAATTGCCCATCAATTCACCTTTCACCTCTATTGTAAATGGTTTCCATATAGTTCATGTTTTCATGGCCTAGGTGAAATTTTCATAACAAACTAAGGAAAATTTAAAAGTTCAAAATGAATTGTCCTTAAAAAAACCCCAACTTGGGGCTGGGGATTTAGCTCAGTGGCATAAGCGCCTGCCTTGCAAGCAGGCAGTCGTGAGTTCGATCCCTGGTACCGATAAAAATGAAAAAGACAAAAAAAAAAAAAAAAAAAAAAAAAAAAACCCCAACTTCTATGTTAGAATATCACTTAAGCTTTGGAAAATACAAAGCACTTTTAATAAAAAACAAATGCAGTCTTAAAATACTATTTCATGAAGAGTAAAAAATATTTACAAACAATATAAATTCATAGAAAGAGTCATACTATTACTAAGGGCTAAAATTTTAACTTTTTAGGATAATAGCCTTTTAAAATAAGCAGATGACAAACACTGTGATTCATTTCTTATTCCAGGTTGAACATAAATAAATCACCCAGCGAGATGAAGAAGAGCTTGGAATAAGACTCATTAACATGCAAAAGACTGAGGAGACCTGAGGTTGGGATTTCTGTAGGACATTTCCTTGCCCGTCGTACAAGGTGGCGACATCTTTATGATTTTATTGTTATAACAAGACAGCTGTAGAGGTAGGTAGTATGATCATTCACGTCAGTAGAATGACACTTTGTGCATAAGTAAAGAATACTTGCTTATTCTGTCAAACTACCAGAGTCTAAGGTTTATAATAGTAGAGATGTAGTTTGTAGTGTTTACTGCAGTAACTACAATCAGGCAGTAGGGTGGAGATGGTGGTTATTAAATATTTGCTAAATGAAGAAATGTAGATTTGATTGCATCAAACTTGAGCTGTGCAGAGTTTTACTGCTTTGGAAAATTTGTGCAGTTCTTGGTGCCGAGCCGAATAAAGTCCAGAATCTATCTTCCCTATTAAAGCATAGGGACTCTTCGCCCAGTTTCCTGGTGCTGGTCTTTTGCTGGCCAGAGATGCTTATCTGCTGCTGTGAGGTAACAGCGCATGAATGATCCCTCTGTGTAATTCTGTGTTGTTTAGAAAGCACAAACTATGGATATACTAAGATCTCATTCTTCAAAGTGAGACCTCTTTTCTTTTACCTACTCTAGTTTTGTGAATTTTCAGAATCGGTAACTTCTTAATATTAGGGAAAAGACCCAGGGTCAATGAATGAGAAAAATGATATTCTTTGAGCTCAAACTAGTTCATATAAGATGATTTCATGGTAGAAAGGTGCTGTGGTCACAGGCCCTGTACAGTCATTGCAAATGAGTATCATGTGTCGTCAAGCATAGAGTCTCAACATAAGAACAAAAGCATTTCTTTTAGGGAATATACATCAAGCACTAACGTTAGCTCCTCTGAGGTCTAGAATCTCAGTCTAGTGACTTCACGACATATGCAGAGAACACTAACACACTGGTGAAGTGTGTTAGTTTCAAAAGGCTGAAGATGTGACAATGAACCGTGCTTAGAAATGTCACTGATAGCTACACAGAGGGTACAGCAGCAGTTGAGCAAACTATTGAAAAGATGTGGAATTTCACCAAACTGGGCTGTTACTTTGGGAGTATATAGTAAAAGGAGTCTTGCAGGCAGGAATGATGGCATATCCTGCAGCACAGAAGCTTGAGACTATGGAGTTCCTTTGGAAAGATGTAAAGTCGTTGACATGGCTGGAATATAGATTGCACAGAAGAGTGGTAAAGGGGAAATTGAAAGTGACATTTAAAAAGGCCTTTATGCTGAGCAAAGCAGGAAGTATAGGGAGCCTTGGTCACCTTGGAGCGTGGGCGAGAGTGTGTGATACATATGATACCGACCCAAACTCTGGCGGGTTTGTCCAAGTAATAAGCTAGGTGCAAAACTCGGAAACTTTATTATTTTTAATAAATTCAAGCATGTTATCACACTGGAGAGGGCAGCATTCAAATAGCAAAATCCAAAGTCCGGTGCCTCCCGTGGGTATGCTTGGCCTCTGGTCCCCCGTTTGTCCTTTGCTGTCGTTGCTGCACAGAGCTGTGAGCCCCTCCCCAACACGCACTCTGTCTGTTCTGGTCCTCCTCTGACAGGCAGTGAACCCAGACTTGCCTTCTCAGATTCTTCTTCCCTGGACACCCACCTGCGGGTCTCGGGAGGCCCTGGCTTGCTGGTGACCCCACCTTGCCTCTGGTTGGAAAAACCACCGTATTATAGAGCTGTCAGTCTTTGAATGGCTATTCCGGCCTGCCTGCTGAAACTGTCATGTTTCATATTGATATAGGGGAAAGAAACTCCCAACCTACTCTGTGTAGAGTAGAAGTTCAAGTTCTCTAAAACTGAAGAATGAATTTAATAGGCAAAATGGATGTTAAGAGCAGAATATATTTATTGTGAGAAAGAAAGTTTTTTTTTTTTTTTTTTTGTCTTTTTCATTTTTATCGGTACCGGGGATCGAACTCACGACCGCCTGCTAGCAAGGCAGGTACTTATGCCGCTGAGCTAAACCCCCAGCCCCGAAAGTTTTTATTTAAGAGACAGAAGGGGTCCTGAGAGGGTTACCAAAGACTTTGTCTTTCTGAGGGACTTTTATAGAGCTAAACCACCCCACAGGTCCAAGCTGGGGAAAACATGGAACTAGAAAGGGAGGCAGGCGTGGGGTGGGACAGAACTATGGTCAACCAGTAAGATTAATTGTTCAGGTAAAATTGACAAAACTGGGGACAAATGGGGAAGCGAGTCACACAGCAAGTGGCCATACTTGAAGAGCAATGACTCTTAGAGTGTTGCGATGGTGACTCCTGCCTTCCTCAAAGTGATCCATACCTGTTTAGATGATCAATCCTTGATGTTTATATATAGGGTGTACTTGCATTTGTTTTGACTTTTCTCTTGAGATCTGGCTGCAGCAGAGGTGTCTGTCTCCTCCAAGGCTGTAAGGTATCTGACCTTCTGCCCTGGCTCTTTTAAGGGCCCAGCACCATCTGACTGCCTATAATATTTCTAATTCAGCTTCCTGTAACAATATGTTTACCTATATTAAGGTGTAATTATTAAGCAGGGTGTCATAGCGTACATCTTTATAGCCACTCAGGAACTGAAGCAGGAGGATTTCAGATTCATGACCAGCCTGGACAATTTAGCAGCTCCCTATCTATGAATAAATGAATAAATAAATAGATGTATAGTGAGACAGATACTGAACACTATAGCACTTGCCTACCTTCTGTGAAGCCCTGTGTTCAATCTGTGGTAACAATAAAATAAAAATTATTAGTTCACAGATATTAAAGATTAGAATTGAAATAATTCTGTCTCTGCCTGTGCCTTCTTACCTCCCCACAATTACAGAAAGACGACAGAACAAAGGGAATTCCTGGTTGGTATCATACAAGGAATTATTAAGCATCTAACATTCTATTAGTTATTAAGCTAGAATATTTTTCACTAGCTCAGAAAAGCAAATTTTACAGAAAGTAATCAGAGTGATTAATTGACTCCTTTATGGTTAATTGTTTATCTCTTTACCACTTGGTGACAGTTTTTAAAAGTCTTAGACATGGCTGTAGCATCAGTCGTGAGAATAGAGATGTACTTCAGACAAGCTTTCAGATATTCATGATACACAAGGAAGAATGAACGATGGAACAGGTGACCAGCTAGCATCTGGGTTCTGCTCACTCCAGGAGAGAGTGGGAATAATGGAGCACTCTGATGCAGTGTCTCAGAAGAGGGGGGTTATGCTCTGAGAGCTGGGGGCTTCAGGACGGCCTGCTTCACATCACCAAGACTGTCCCCTGTCCCACAAGGCATTTCTTACCATCATGTCTCACCTGATATGAGGCTCGCATCAGTGTCCCAGTGTATTCTAGTTCGTGCAGATCGATAGCCAGCAGCAGGCCGGGAGGTTTCCAGTTGGAAAGGAGCCTTATTTGCTTAATTGTTTCTAAAATATCATTCCACCAACTTCTGCACCAGTTCCTTGCTTGTGAGTGATTTGTGGAAAGAGCACTTGCCCCTTATCCTTAGCAGTAAGTCCAAAGAACTCCTGGACACCCAGACTCTCCCAGTTCTTAACGAGCACAGTCCAGCATTTGCAGCTGTGTGATCTGAAGATCCTTTAACTGCACATGATTTTAGTATTATTTCTGGAATATCCGATGATTCGTATTTCTGCTCTGAATCACCAATAACCTCGTTACGTAGAACTGTAGATGGTAAGAGAGGAATCCTCAAATACCCCCAGGGACTATGAATTGCATCCAAAGGAATTTGAAATTTCCTGTTGCTTTTGTGGCAGAGCTCTGATCTTGTTGAGTTGCATAAATGCACATTCTTGAAACAATGTTAAGGACCTAATTTGTGTTCAGGCCCTCTAGACTATTTAAATATTTAAAGGGATACTTTTCACCCTCAAGGTTCTTATAATCTGTGTATTTCAACCTGAACTTCTGCCATCTTTACCCTTCAGTTCTTTGGTAGCTCTATGTTTTGTAGGTACAGCTCCTGATATTTCAGAAACCATAAAACACTTAGCACAGTTGACAGGAGACCTGAAATAAAATGATGGACCCTTAGAGTGGAACCTCAATATCTAATCTGTCTGAGGTTTCCTAAAAGGTCAAAGGACATCAACAGAGATCAAAAATTATCGTTACTTGCTTATTACCATTACAATTCATGACTTATGGAGAGCATCTTTTGTGTTTCTTCCACTTACCATGCGTCAGTTACACACACCCATGTACATATACACACTTGGGTATGCAAGTGATTAGCCTAATTTACACCTCTCCAAGGACCGTACAGTGTCTTGGATTGCGAACCTCTCCATGGATTGGGAATCATCAAAGAAAGGAAGTCAAACCCAAGTCACTCTATTTGGTTCCTTGTTTGTTCTTAGTCTAATGAGTGCTTTTTCCTTTACCCTAATTTTGGCACCATTCTTTTCCAGCTGAGGAGAGGAGTTGTGGAGATTATTTAACTTTGGTTCCATCTGCATCTAAACTGTGTTTTCATTCATGCCCTTCTGGAGGACTGTGGAGCAAGGAGCATAATCCTTGGCCAGGAAAAGCCGCGGTGCAGCCGGGCTTTCCCTGAGTTCAGCGCTGCTCACAAGCACGTGCAGACCGGACCCACGGCACTGATTTAGGGTCCCCTCCTGTTTTTGTGGGGTTGGCACAGGAGAGAGCACAATACTGATTTTGCTTGTGAAGAGCTGGGGTTCACCTCTACCCAGATGCCTGCAAGGGCAGAGACAGTGTGCAGGTGCTAAAGGGAAGTGACAGTGAGGCCTACAGCCTCAGCTGGCACAACTTCAGAACACTTCAGAGGCTGGTATTCCAGGGAGACCTCGTGGTGTGCTGGAGCAGGGGCTGCACAGATAGACTGAGCTGCCCTGCAGGAGGTAAGATCAGCCCCGGAAACAGGAAATGAAAATAGCAATACCAACATCAAAACCTTCTTGTTGATACACTGATGCACAACACAAGCAAACTCCAGAGCAGCAAGCCAGCAAAATCCTGGGTGGGGCAGGGTGGGATATGTAGCAAGCGCCTATCTGGGAGGCGCAGAGAGCCTGGTGGGCGCTTGCAGGTCGCAGGGTGCAGGTGCTGTTCGCTGAGACGCCACGCT